AGAATGCCCCCTTTATTGAGCTTGGCGTGGAGGAGTCACTTAGAGCTGAGACTTATTTGGCGGCTTTCCTTGCATGTTGGCTTTGCAAATTTGTGTTCCCCAACAAGAAGATCGACTACATTCGTGCTAGTGTCTTCAAAATTGCGAGTTTGATGGCTCATGGAGAGAAGTTTTCCTTGGCGGTTCCCGTCCTTGCAAGTATTTATCATGGCTTGAAGGAGGTCTCCACTTCTCAAGATTTGGGCGCCTGCAAAGCACTCTTTCCTATTCATTATGTATATGGATGGATAGGAGCATATTTTGACACCTACTATCGTGTTAAGCATCCACAACGAGGTCCGCAGATGTGCAAAGTTTCTGGCGAGAAGATGGCCAAGCATTTCGACCTTAGTAATGCCCGTGAGTTGTTTCAACAAGTTAGTGCGCGACAGCTTCACCATTTGGCTATGCTACAAGGGAGGGAATTGCATCTTACCGATCGTGACGAACAATCGAATTCTTGGAGTGACTTTTTTATAAGTCTTCGCTCAAGCTTCATTACCCTTAGGCATGATGACATTCATATTGTGGCATCTTACAGCCCACATAGGTTTAGTCGTCAATTCGGCTTTTGTCAAGATGTTCCTGGCAAACTCATAGAGAGACCCTATGACGGCTCGCTGAAAATGCTAGTGCAATTCTGGGATTCTTGTGTTCGTCTTGGAGGTTCGTCAAAAGTTATTGTCCCTACGCGTCCATCAGAAGAGGGCCCTCTAATGACTCGTGAGTATGCAGATTGGTGGTCAGCTCGTCGAGTGCACTCTTCCCGACAAAGCGCTCATATCATTTTGAAAGTTCCAAGGAAAGATGATATTCCTTTATCCTCTAAAGATGATCAACGTCAAAAGGACACCCACGGAGGGTCATCCAAGTCCAAGTTAAGATCTAAAGATCCTTCGCCAAGCACCAAGGTCTTATCCAAGTCTACCCTTTCGACTGGCGGGGATGCCCATGTGGACAAAGGAGCTAAAAACGTTTTGTTGAGTTCCAAGACAACTACTGCCACTGTGGAGGTGACGAACAATCCTTGCAAAAGGAAAGCGCC